CACTAATAAAACACATTTCATTCGTAAAATAATTATAAATCTATGTTTTTGATCATTTTATAAATTTATCAAAATATTTCTAAATTTTAAAACTTTTTGAGCTTGGGCCAATTTTGACTCTATGGGTTTTGGGCCTCGAGGACCTACGAGCTTCGACACTCAAGCCTTCGAATTGACATGTTCGTGCATACCTACCTACTTCTAGAAGCCCGATACGAGAGTGCCTAACTAGTGGCCTTGCATACATGGCCCGAGGCCTAGCTTACGCGCACCTAACCCGTGGCCCGACACGTTTGTGCTCGGTCCATGGGCCTAGCATTCCTTGTATACGGAGTGCACGGCCTACGGGCCTAGCATGCCTTGTATGTTGATGCCTAACTTATGCACCTCGCATGTGGCCTAGCACGCAACATTTGGCATATCACTCGCCCAACACGTGATCGGCCTAGCCTTGCTCGCTACGAGTCTAAGCATGCGATAGCTAGTGGGCTCATTTTTTTGTACATGTGAGCGTCGACATCCAATGTTAGCCTTGTGTGTCCCACTCGTTTTTCACTCAAATTTCAGTTTTAAATTAATAAAAAAATACCAAAAATACTAGATTTATAATGAAATATAGTTAATTCATGTAGTCAATCATAATTAACATAACAAACAATAAAAGATTTAACGGGGCTCGATACCAATTAAAGGATCATTAATCCTATGGAGGTATAGAATAAACAAAAATTTTCCTCTATCTAAAGGGCATAAGATCATGCCATTGAATCAACTAACTATATGTACATGAATTAAAGCAATGAATGGAAAATTACCTCTTGCAATGCGGATCTAAATTCTTTAGTAGTAAAGTCATCCAAGTGTTCGACTTGTATTGATGATTCACGCAGTCCAAGCACTCACAAAGAAACACTCAAAATTGATAGAGTGCTAGTATTATCTTTTATGATTTCGCATTGTTTTCTATAGAAATCTAATTTGGGAAAGCTTACGACAATCCAAAGAGAAGAGAGGAGGTAGCATGGTAGGATTAGGGACAAAATAATTTTCTCCTTATTTTATTTCGGTCGTGTGTCCCTTTTTAGTTTTTAAGTGTGCCAAATTGTTTCTCTCCAAAACTTCTTTGTTTGTCGCACATCTCCTATTTATAGGGGTAGGGTTTTCTTATCCTTTAAGGATAAGGAGATGGGTGGCAAATAAGTCCTAATTGGACTTATGGTTATTGCTTCCTAATCCTTCAAGGATTAAGAGTTATTTTGCATGTGAGTTTTTTATTTTTATCTTTAAAATATTCATCCTTATCCAATAAGGTTGATGTTTATCCTCCCACCAAAATATCTTAAGGCTTTTAATTAAATCTATTGGGTCAAAACCATTCTAGCCCAATTAATTTATTTGAACAATCCAAATAAATAATCTTAGATAATTTTAGGCGACCCACATCATGAACCAATTTTCTAAAATACCTTTTAACCTAAATCGAAACTCATTTTCATTTTAGGTTATTTACTTCCAAATTGGAACCAACTTCTAAATTAGTAAAGCTGATTTCTAAAATAGAAAACTTTTCATTTTAGGAAACTTTTCATTTTTGGAAACCTTTTTCAAAATAGAAAACTTTTAGAATTGAAAACTTTTTCCAATATCTTTGCTTTTCTTTAATCATATGAATGCTTAAAACTTGTGTGTATGACTCAATAAGCTCTTAGATATGTTGGCAATGTATCAAGAACAAAAGACTCCTTTTTTATCTTTTGATACATAAATCAAGATTGGCCTCTAGCAAGGTATCATGACTACCCGATTCTCTAGGAGGATTAATTAATCCATTATTATCTTTCACGAGTATGGTTACCATATAATTCGGTCCTCATGTCGACTTATCACGAGTGTGATCTCGAACTTGGTTATAAGTCTTGTTCAATTATGATCACATAAGTTTTTTTCGATTTTCAAATGTCTTAGCTTTTAGAGTAATAAACCAACTATACTCTATTGGTGAATTCCTACTATAGTCATAGATTTCTTAAGTAGACATTCATTGAAGTGTAATGTGATAACTCCTTTAGCATACAAGGAATGATACGTCCTATCTTAGTTATACACCTATCTCTATTAGATTCCTAGTGCATTTAACAAATCGCCCACTTACAACCTATTATTGGGTCCATCGAAATGATTATCAAAGTGCATAAATCCTCTAATGAGATAAACATGATGACTTCAAGTCTAAAGACCAATTGTACCTATCTCGTATGAGATTCCCATAGAGCTAAATCAAATGAGTTCTCATAGCGAGTCAAGTTTAGTGATGTGTTCTCTAACATAAATCACCTAAGTGCTTGCTTTAGCATTCATCGTGCCAATAAGTATGAGATCTTCTACTGCTATCATATAGTATAAGCATAGCACTCTTAAGTCTATCCACATATAGTCAACGTTTATTCTTGATAATGCTACGACTTGGGACGTTTAATGATATCATTTATATGCATTAATATTTGTCTCACATATCTCGATCAATCATTAATGCAAATACATACCATATGGACTTCTATCTAATTCTATTCAATTAATAAATATAAATGACAAGAATTAATCAAAAGATATCTTGATTATAAATCATGAAATGATATAATAACTTAAGTTCATCCAAACATGGTTGGATTTTGGGCACCTACACTAATTGGATTAAGTGGATTAATTTTTTTGGATGAAAGTTGAAGTAGATGTGTAATCTCCTCTTATGATAAGCTTCGACAAGAAGAGATGGGAGAATGTACGGCTGATTTGAAGTATAAAAATATTTGGTACTTTTATTAATACTTAGAGCATGTGGATGTGGACTGTGTCTTAAAAGATGAAGATGCTAGAAATAGAGTGCAAATGAAATCAATTTATGGTTTTGGATGAAGGTTCCATCAAGCACTCAAAATAAAATTATGTTCCAAGTAATGTTTGAAAAGGATCAAGAAAATGGGAAGTGTGGTTGCCATAACAAATCTAAATCATAATAATACCATCCACGATATAAGAGAGAATAATGACACGTGAAAAAGCTTTCCAATCCTTTGTGATTTCTCACTAGATATCTAATTCGGAATCATCCATGTGTTTGCATTTAGAAGATTATGTAAAAGAAATCTATCTTAATGATTACTTATCTAGAACCCATTCTTTGACCACTAGATAAATGGTTATTACCAATAGATCATGGCTTGCCTAGAAATGCCTTTCTCTTATCAACTTCACATTGAAATCCAAAGAGAAACGTGTTGCTTTGAATTTTTTAGATCCGTAGCTCATACACCATACTCCATGATCTTTGTAAAGCCTTACTAACGAGCATGTTGGTTGAAGTACCTTTGACTAAGAAGCTTCTGGCCAAAACACATCTAGGCACTCTCAACTCTTGACAATGTAAACTTATAGTTTGATTTGTCAATTTTATGACCACTTCGTTGTCTACCGTGTATTGTATAAGAGAGGTAAACGAACGGTTAAAAAACTACGAACCATGTAGAGGTTGTAATAGAGGTTCACTATATATGAGTGGACTTTAAACTTATATAAACAATTCTCATCAATACTTGTTTTAGGTATTGAGGTGTTTAAAGAGAATTTCATTAAATATCCTAAGAATATTGAAGAGATATAGTAAAGAGATGATTAGGAAACTATGATGTGTTTGTTTGAAGGTTAACGCTCACTTTAGAATGATTTAGACGGAGTCACATATAACTTAAGAATTCGAATGAAAAATGTGTATAGATATCAAAGAGTAAAGATAGAAAAAAATACAAAATAATAACTTAAGAATATCGTTTATTTACCAAAAATGAGTTTGGTTATTAGAAATAAAATATCTATAATAAAAATATAAGAATTAGAATGAAAATTAAAGAATTAGAATGATATTTTTATTCTCATATCGTATTTGATATAATAAAAGGGATATTAGTAGTAGATAATGAGTGATGATAGAATAATAATAATAATAATAATCTTTTTTTTCAAAATTTATTTTTTTACCACTACCTAAGGGGAATGGTGGTACGTGGTAGTAATAGAAATGGTTAATACATAATAAATAAAAATAATATATTATTATTTTGATAAAAAATTCATTCTCATTTCTTGTTTTGATTTTTACATCTTTTATGAAATAAAATTATATTTAATTTTCATTTCTATTTTAACTTTTCATTTCCATTTTTATTTTATTTCTTTAAACCAAAGAACTAAAAATTAAAAATAAAATTTTTAATTTCATTTCTACTATTCTATTTTTGGTAACCAAATATCATCTGAAGTATTTAAAATATTTAAAAATATAATAATTATTGCCAATTTGTGTGCTATAGTAACTCTTGAACAAAAGATAGAAAATTCATTATTAAGAAAAAAATTGATAAAATATCATGCATGAAATATAAATATAAATAAAACTTTTACATATGTTCGATTATTAATAAAACCCGTATTTTTATTATTATTTGTATATCGTATAATCATACCTAGTCGTAACATTCATTCAAAATTTCACTTGACTGTTGATATTTTTAAAAATTAAAGACATTTATTTGAAACAAATGAAAAATAAGAGGTTCATACGCTAATTATATACCGTAATTAATCAACTTCTACTTTACGACCAGTTGGTCGAAATTTTTTTCCAATCTCTCAAAACTATAACTTTTCACCATATATATATATATATATATATATATTTGTCTTTAGATTATTTGGTTAATGATAAACATATAATTTTTATTTACATGTTGATATATTATGTCAACCCTTCTAAATCATTAAATCATATAGTTTTTATGAGATGAATGAATTACGGAGTGGTGGATGCGTACTAAGTACTTTTGAGTATTTTTCTTATTATATGGTAGTATGTTCTTATATGTCTCTCCCTCTCTCAAAAACCTAACTAAACGACACCTCAGACAAACAATGCTTATTTCTAGTATGTTGCTATTGCGACTCGGATAATGGAACTCACAACCGATTCAAGCGACATAACGACTCGGTCCCCTCTAGGCATCGATCTCAATGAGATCCCCTCCACCTCGACCTCTTCTCCTCCAGAAAATTCATTGGATGTGGTGCTGTCCTTCCACGAGAGCTCGGACCCGGCGCCAGGAATGGCTGCTGGGTTGCGAGGCGAGGGATCGATGTGCGGGACATGCGGAAGGCCGGAGGTGAGGGGCCACGTGGTTGTTTGCGACGGGTGCGAGCGTGGGTTCCACCTAGGGTGTGCTGGCATGCGCGGAAGGCAAGCTATTAATTTGGCGGAATGGCTATGTGTAGAGTGCCTCAGCGGCGGCGTTAAGAGCAAACGTTGGCCATTAGGTATTAAACGGATTTTGGACATCAACGCGTCGCCACCAAGCGATGCTGATGATGACTTGCTTTCAAATTTTAGGTGCATCTATCTATCTATCTATCTTTCTTTCCATCTGGTTAATTATAGTTACTCAATTCATTTATATTTATTTCATTCATAGATAGTTATTGTTTCCATTTACATTGGTTTAGGAAACATACTCAGGGTGATAATTCTTTTAGTGCCCCTGTCACATATTCAAATCTTTTGTACGCCGGGAATGGATTACGTTCTGGGCCTCTGATGCATGCTTTCACTTTGGGTTTTGAAGACGTAATGCATCCTATGCAGACTGTAGATATGAGTTCTGAAGGGGTAGGCATGAATTTCCTTCACGGAGGGCTCAGAAGTAGGAATAATACAACCATTAGATTATTGTCTCGGAATCCTAGTGAGATTTTTTTGCAGCGTCTTAGAGAATTCATTTCAGAAAGGCATGGTGTTCTAGAAGAAGGTTGGAGTATTGAATTTAAACATTCAATCAGTAATTATGAACTATATGCAGTTTATTGTTCTCCAGAGGGGAAGACATTTCATTCAATGTCTGAGGTTGCTTGGCATCTTGGCGTGATGCCTAATTGTAATTCAATGGACATGGACTCTACAAGTTGTGGCTCTCTCTCTCTGCAGGAAAGTTTGCATCTACCCAGAAACAATAAGTCCAAAAGATATTCACTTGCCAATGTTTTTTCTGAACATAAAGAAACTTTGATGAGTGGCTACTGCGAGCAGCTTTTTTCCAATGGTCAAAGTATTGAAATCCACAATGCTAGGTTTGGTAAAGTTGGAGAATTCGAGATGCAAGAAGATGGCATATCTAATTTTCAGCCATCTAATGTAAGTGCACATTCAATCTATGCTTAATCTTGATTCATCTATTTAGTTGTAATCCTCAGTATTGCATTTTCTTTGATTGCCTGATTCTTTTGTGCGCTACTGTGCGGTATATTTCAGGAAGGACTTCCTGTTCAGTTTGAAGACTTCTTTGTTCTTTCTTTGGGAAAAATTGATGTGAGACCTACATATCATGATGCTAGCCGGATTTGGCCTGTAGGTTATAGATCCTGTTGGCATGATAAGATTACCGGATCCATTTTTTTATGTGAAGTGTCAGATGGTGGTGATTCTGGACCTGTTTTCAAGGTTAGAAGGGTTTCGTGTTCATTGTCGCCTGTTCCTGAGGGCTTAACTGTCCTGTTTAGAACAAACTTTGGCCAGTATGGTAGTCACAAAAACGAAGAGTGTGATCATATGTTTTTCCACAATATTGATTGTGAAAGTGATGATGATATTGAGTTAATTCTTTCAGACCCTGCCCCACCATCATATAATGATGTTTTAACCTGTCTTCAAGGTAGTTCAAATGGAACATCAGAGATTACACAAACTAGTTCCTTTGATAGCAGGTCTCAAAACGTTTTGTTTAGTGATTTAGTGTCAGGAGAGGAGATTGGTGAGATTTCAGTGGAAGAGCGTTCATCAACTTCAGCTTGGACAGTGGTGTCTCAGAAATTAATAGATGCTTACTCTGAAATACATAGACAGAGAGGTCACTTCAAGGTCTCCTGCAACCATGCAGATAATGAAATGGGTTCACCAGTCTGGTATACCAAGAGTGAAAACAGCAACATAAGTTCGGCCTCATTGGCCAAATTTTGCAGCTCGCCCAACTTTGTTGGAATCCCATTGGAACGTCAGGGTGAGCTTGGGGCTTTTTCTTCTGCACTCTCACAATGGCTGGATCAGGATAGATTTGGATTGGACACAGAATTCGTGAACGAAATGATAGAACAGCTCCCTGGTGTCAAAACTTGTTCGAAGTATGAATTTCTGATTGATAGGGATCATTATTCTTCATCTCCAACTATTGGAAATGGACTCTTAATGGCCATAAGGAAAAGCAGAGCAGAATCAGATGCTTTATTTCAAAGACCCAAAAGAGCCAAGTTGGCAAAAGACAATTTGGTGGATGATCAGTATCCTCCTGGGAGGCTATTGTGCTCCAAGCTTCCTCCTGTGCTTGTGGGTGACTTTTATCAGGTGTGTGCATGCTAATTACTAGTATTGTATAGGATTTTTGAAATAATCTATTTGTTCTTTCTGGATAGAGAGCTTAGTTACTCCAATCATGAGGGCTCATACTTTTTGGTCTATGCAGGTATGGGAGTTATTATGCCGCTTCCATGAAATATTGGGTTTGAAAAAGCCTTTTTCCTTGGAAGAACTTGAAGAAGAAGTAATCAATCCATGGTCTAATCTTTCTTATCTACTAAAGAATTTTGAGAACAAGGTCTGTGGAAGTGAAGTCATAGATTTTCATAAAGCTGATAGTAGGAGTGGATTAAACTCATTTTTATGTGAGGAATCTGGAATGGCAGTTTGTGGTGGTAGTTCACATGCATTTGTTAATGATGAGGAATTTAGGATGGGAGTCAAGGGTGTAGGCCAAACTACAGTTGCATCTGTTACCCACAACAGTTGTGGTGGTGCAGCTTTGACTAATGCTCATAGCTCGTTGTTAGGTGTGCTAATAAGTGAGCTACAATGTAAGGTTGCTCCACTTGTAGATCCAAACTTTGATTCTGGAGAGTCAAAATCGAAACGGGGAAGGAAGAAAGATGCAGATAGCTCAGCTCCAACAAGAAGAAATAACCTCTATATGCTCCCTATTAATGAATTAACTTGGCCAGAGTTAGCCCGGAGATACATCTTAGCCATCTTGTCCATGGATGGTAATCTTGACTCTGCTGAGATTACCACCCGTGAAATTGGTAGGGTGTTTCGTTGCTTACAAGGTGATGGTGGGGTGCTTTGTGGCTCGCTTACTGGAGTTGCAGGCATGGAAGCAGATGCACTTGTAAGATTGGTTCCTAATCCTTTTATTAATACAAAACATCATACTGAAAGATCTTTTGTCAAAATTATTAGTTGCATGAGAGAAAGCATTTGCCATTTATGTGCATATGCCTGTATGTGTGTGGTTGTTACCTGTTTCCAGATGTAGTGAAAGTTACAAAGAAAAACAGTAATTCACACTAGTTTCTCAACCTTTGCCTTCAGTTGCTTGCAGAGGCTACAAAAAAAATTTTTGGTTCGTTGAGCAGAAAAAAAGATGTTCTTAGCATAGAGGATGAAACAGCTGATACGAGTTATGATTGTGAAAATAAGAACATGAAAGATGGTAACATGCCAGACTGGGCACAGGTGCTGGAACCTGTTAGAAAGCTACCCACTAATGTTGGGGCTAGAATCCGAAAGTGTGTTTATGATGCTCTGGAGAAATCTCCACCAGAATGGGCAAAGAAAAGATTGGAGCATTCAATTAGTAAGGAAGTGTACAAGGGCAATGCATCAGGACCTACAAAGGTGTTGTACAAGAACCCTTTTTTTTTTTTTTATGAAATCTCTTTCATAATGCATATTTTTCTATGTTATTGATTTATTTCGTCGCTGTAGCCTGAATGTTTGTGGTGATATAATAAAGTGATGTCCCTGTGCAGTTTTAAGCTCTTTTTTGAAGTGCTGTGTATTCTGTTGGTGAAATAGGGATGCACTTTAAACAATAAGAGCTTAAGAAGATGATTTGCTTTGCAAACATAAAGTAAAGTTAAAATCTGTGTTCTTTCCCTTTGCCTCGCTAGTCATGTGGAGCAGAAACTACTCCATAAACGTTTCTTAGTGCTATAGTACTCGGTGAAAATTTCTTAAAGCATCGATGTCCTAGCCCTTTTGAAAGGTGTTACAGACTTTGATGTTTGAAGCAAAGTATGTGTAAACCAATGAACATGGAAGTTTCAATGTGTTGTTACCATAGTGTTTTTTCTTAAACAACAAACAGAGGGGTTGAAAAGTAAATTCTAGGAACCAAATTCTAACCTGGTTGGAAATTTAGAGTCAAATAATATTGACACCTGAGTGCAACCTCCGATTGGGCTAAAATAACACAAGTTTTAAGACATTGAGGCACAAGTTTGAAAGGGGTAACATATATATATATATATATATATATATATATATATATATCAATGGTTTATTAAAATATTAAATTGATGAACATTTTTAAGACAATTTTAGGTGGAAGCAATATTTACATCCTCACAAAAGCCTTTTGCCTAGCTCATTATTTCAAAGTAATCATTTCAAATTTGAAGGTAATGTTACTAGTGCAAATTCACTGGATAGGATAAAACCCTTGGATAAACAGAAATAGTGATAGGATTCAAAATGATGTGAATTACGTGCTATACCTTCAAGCTTTTTAAATTTGAGACTAGCAGGCCCTGCATGATCCCATGTGTCCAAACTATATTTGAAGAAGCAATTTTTGATTTCAGTACAGTAATTTGATGGATTGTTTGTAAGAATGTTGGCTCCTAAGATTAAACTCGGTGGCTTAATGTTGACAAAAGTAATCTCTTTCAATTGTTTGTTTTCCCTTTACGCTTCTATCCCATGTAGCCCTTCCTCTATTAAATTTACATGTTGAACTTGATTTATAAAAAGTATGCTTTATTCAACTTGGTGGTATTTCTTGTTTTGAGAATTTAATTTATAGGCTTGATTCTGAATTCACTTCTAATTGTTGATGGAACACAGAAAGCTGTGCTTTCAGTGCTAGCAGATGTATTAACTGGAGTCCAGCAAAAAGCGCTTAAGACAAATAAAAAGAAGATATCAATACCTATTTCTGACATTATAATGAAACAATGTCGTATTGTATTGCGCCAAGCTGCTGCTGCAGATGATGCGAAAGTTTTTGCACCTTGCTGGGAAGAAATCTCATAAATTCTTGCGATACTGATGATGAGGGGCTTCTTGGATCTCCAGCTATGGTTTCTCGTCCTCTGGATTTTAGGACTATTGATTTGAGATTAGCAGCTGGAGCCTATGGTGGTTCCCATGAATCTTTTCTCGAGGATGTTCGAGAGGTTTGTATACTTATTGTGAATTGGCTTGACATGGAAATACTTCGATGATTCTAGTTTTCCATTGTTTTCTAATATTAAAAGTTTCTTCTTTGCATGTTGCAAACTTGAACGAATTTTTGTATGCTATTCATTCATTCACTTCTGAAGTAGGTTGAGTTGAACTAATGGCCTTATTGCTTTTATATGTGTATGTGGGAGTGAACTTCTTTGTTCTGCTATGTGATTAGGTTGTCGTAAAAAATCAGTATCAATATTTATTTCGTACTACTGTTGAAACTTTTTGGAGGTTCTACATTACTTGTTGTCAAGGTGGGTTATAGATTTCCTGTCATCCTGGAATGACATGATTGGTGTAAAGTTTAGCACTTTTAATGTATTAAGGATCTCACAAAGCTTGTGTTCTCTTTACTTCTTTTAGCTGCTGGAGAATTTTCCAGTTTTAAATTTTCTTTTAGTAAATATAAAACTATTGACAACATGTTTACCAATTAAAAATAAAAAGTGTTTTCTTGGAAATGCATGTTTTCTACTTTTCCATTGGGAGACTACTGGAAGTGTTTTCCAACTTCTCCACCTAAGAAAACAACAGCCTTGTTTGGTACTTGCATTATTTAATCTAATTCAATAGATTTACTCTAATGGTAATCCAAACAAGGCTCTTGTTTTATAGAAAATTATTGGTTACTAAACTTGTTTTCTATGGAGAAATAATTCTAGAACCAAGACATAATCTAGAAAATTGTTTTCTATTCCTCTATTTCCTTTTGTGTTTTTGTTTCCTAATTCTCTAGAGTGAGGTTTTATAAGGTTTGAACATTTTTTCAAGTGCTGTAAGAAAAGTCACAAAGGTCTATTGAATGTCATGTATTATTGAATGTTGGAATCAAACCTTTAATGCAGTTTCATGACTGATATTCATTTATAGGTTTTTATTTTTTGTTTCTTGACTGATGTTCATTTATTGGTATGGATGGTCTCTTGGTTTACTATTGCTTGAAGAGAAATTGGATTCATAATAGAATCTACTGACTGTTAGTCTTACCTTGCAGTTATGGAGCAATGTATGCCTGGCATCCAGGGAACAGGCTGATTTGGTTGAATTGGCGGAGACACTTTCCCAAAACTTTGAATCATTGTTTGAAAAGGAGGTATTAAGTTCTGCCCCCTCCTCCTTCTACTTGCCGAAGAAGTTTCGTTAGTATTGGTCTTGTAACTGAATATTTGTGTGACAAGGAAATAATAAATTCCACCATGTCTTCTCTCCATTGCTTGCTAAACTTGCTCTGTCGTTTCCATGTTCATGTGTTAATGCATTAGTCATAGTTACACTTGAATGCAGCACTTATTCACAAATCGAAATTTGTCCACAAATTTTGATTTATCATGTATTCATTTCATGATGCTTTTAGGAATTCCCTTTTTAGTATTAAGCTGAACTTTTAAAGCAAGCTGTTGGATTGAAGTTTTTCAGGACAGGCATATTAGAATAAACTATGAAAATAAGTTCGTGATGTATGAAATAAGTTTGGGAATAAAAAAACAGGTCTCTGATTGAAGTTTTGTTACTCAGTCAGATTACACACACACACACACACAGATTTCTGCTAGATGAATGATGGTGACTGCCAATGTCATTGAAAACATGGAATTCTATATAAGCAATAATCATAAATCACATGCCAAGTTAGGGATTTTCTTTAAATTTCTCTGTGTTTTTACTCTGGTCTTTTGCTTCACTTTCTCACTAACCGAACACCTCCACTCTCACTTTTCACGCTTCCATCATACAAAAATATCACAATAACAATTGCACCCAGTTAATAAAAAATTAATTACACGTTCAGTGTACATATTCCAATCTAGTTAATTCATTCCCTTAGCCTTTTATTCTTTTTTTGGTTTTATTGGATCCTTAAACTCCTCGATGCCACTAATTTGGTCCATGCGGCACCAGTTGACTTAAGATAAGTGGTGCACATGGCTGTTGTGTATAGCAAATCTTAGCTAAATTTAATTTCATAAGAAAAAGTAAATATTCTTTTCTCAAATATAAAATATAAATAAAGAAAACAAACATATGCACAACTCTCTCTCTTGGTCTCATATATTTTTTTCTTCAATCTAATATGCTTCTCTCTCTAGGTGAAGTTCATTGTTATGAAGATTTTCTGCTTTAAATTGCTCCTTGATTTGGTTATGTTTGTTTTCCCAAGTCTAGAAGTTTCTTTGGTTGTTGGAATAGTATGGTGTTGTTGCTTGGGTTTATTTCGATTGCTATGTTTGAGCTGTGTTCTGGATGGTTGTATCTCGTACTTGGTAGGGTTGAACTTATATGGGTTTGTTCATCTCCTCTCACTTGTGTTTTGATCACATTATGTCTGACAAATTGCATCGAAGAGTTTTTGTGTTGTTTTCTGCTGCTATGGGGTTTAGCTCAATAAACTTAAGCATGGAGGGGAGAGAGGGGCAGATAGCTCTGTTCAATAACTTATAGCCTGTGTCAGGGGCAGGTAGATTATAGACAGAGAAATAGACATTTATTTCAGGTACTTGTTAGTCAATATGGTTGTTAGAATCATATTCATGAGATAAAATCTTCAGATTTGACATGATTAACATACCAAATGGTGTTAGTCAGATTGAATCATAGATGGATGTGAATCATGAGATTCATTTATTAATTAATTCAACTTGGTATGCTTTGTTGCGAGGCAAGAGTCAACTAAACAAAACATTAGGTAAAAAATGAATAATTAGGAAGAGATGGTAAAACCAAGAATGCTCTGATTTAAGAGGTCTTGATTGAAAATATGTTAAAAAAAAAATAAAATCAAAGTTCCTGTTAATACAAAGAAAGGAGTGGGAAAATGCATAATTTGGAAGAGATTGTTAAAACAAAAATGCTCCAAGTTTAGAAGTCTTGATTGACAACATAAAATAAAAAAATAAAAAAAAAATCAAATTTCCTGTACACAGAGAAAGGAGTGAGTGAAACAGAATAAGAGTGGCAAACAAAAACAATAATGGTGATATTGATATAAGGAGGATTATTACTTTTTATTAAAGTGGAGAGGTTTAGTATTTTGACTAGGTAGATATTAGCTTTTGGATATCTTAAGTAATTTACTTATTAGGACCACCAAGTAGACCTTGGATCAATGTCTAATCATTTGATTTTTCGGAATTTAGAATCTTTAATAATTTAAAACTAAAAGTTAAATAAATTGGTGTGCCTTTTGTTTATTAAATGGTCAGTTTTTTGCTTGTTAGAAACAAGGTTATCAAAATCTGGATTGTAACTAAGATTGTTGGAGGGTTAAAAAATTTGTAAAGATTTAGGAGCTGTAAGTAGCATCTAATACAAAGTAAGAATATACATATTAGAACCCTAAAACTCATTATCTAATAGAAAATAAGAATATACATGTTAGAACCCTAAAAATCATAATTTTATACAATATGTACAAAAATTCATTCTTATGGGCAAAATCTAAGTCATATTAAAGTGAAAAGTGCACACACACACACACACACACAAAAAAAATCATTGTTTGTGTACAAATCAAGCTTATGTGAATAGAGTTAAGAAGTACTAATAACTCAAATAAGGAGAAACCGTAAACAAAAATAATTAGTAATAGGCTGTTTTAGATGAGAATGGTAATTAATAGTATGTAAAAGTTTTCAAAAAAAATTGTTTTTGGATCAAAATCTAGTTTTATTTTATTTTGTCAGTTAAAAAAATAATTTCAGCTTTTTTTTTCCCCAAAAGATATCATTTAACATTACCTAACCTTTCATTTTGTGATGTTTGATCCATCCATTCTAGAAAATAAAGGGAATGTTAGGGCATTAAATATATTCAGTATCTTAAAATATTAAGTATCAAATCTACAATAAAAGCAATCATCATCTCATAAATGAATTTCCAAAAAATAAAAAATATACTTTCTCAAATTAAAAAAAATAATAAAAAAACAAAGTACTAATGCTAAACAATTCCTCCAATTATAATAAAAAAACAAAATAATACTAGAAAAGCAAAAAGGAAACCCAATTACAAGGAATAGCCTATAATTTTAGCTGATGTAAAATCCTAAAAAAAATCCCAGAAGATATTGATTTTACAGTTTTAATGATTTAAATCCCAGTTTTACTATGATCTTACACAAATGTTTTTTTAGGTTGTTTGGTTTGTAAAATCAAAATCGTAGGATTTTACGATTTGAATCGTGATTTTAGTAACCATGGTTAGAAATTCATAGCCCAGTATTTCTATTTTGTAATGTATTTTCCATTTATTTCCAAATCTTAAAATCCATTATTCAATATTATTTAACATAAGGTTTCTATTCATGGTTTGAATCTTGATTTGATAACCATAGGTTCCATTATAACATTGTTAACAATGTTATTTACTGTATGTGGTTGGATGAATGGTAGGGTTAATGATGGAACAAAGATATGTGAACCTAATTAACCAAAAAGAAGGTAGAAGGGGGACTGAATTAACCAAGCTGGTACAATATAAAGGTGTGCCTTATTAATCCATTTCGAAAACATGGATAGTAGATAATACAGATTTGTCAAAAAATTAAAGTGAGGATGATGATATTCGCTGTGTCAATTGATGTTCTTTCGTACCTCGTTGATGGAGTTGCTGTGTCATACTTAGAGAATAATTCTCCTCCTTGGAAACCCAAGGCCAGACTAATTGGTCTTCATCAAACCAGAGATCTTACTGGTTGAAGAATGAGCATTCATGGTAGATTTCTTGGTCTGGGGTTTGAAGTTTTTGAATTATCTGTGATTTTGTGTGCAAGTTCATAATTGCAATTCCCATATGTTGCCTTCTAAACGGTGGTATTTTGTGGTAATCTTTAAATGGGAACCCCCCCCCCCCCCCCCTTCCTTCATTCCCCTCTCCTCTTTCTCTTTCCTCTGTGCATTACTGTTGCTTGTTTCACTTATCACTCTCTACCTCTTCATCTTTTGATGTCTAACATATCTATTTATTTATTCATGTAGGTGGTCACCCTTGTAAAGAAATTTGAGGGTTATGCTAAATTGGATCACATAACTGCAGAAATAAAGAAAGAATTAGATGATTTTCTCGCTTCAATAAATGAGGTTCCAAAAGCTCCTTGGGATGAAGGGGTCTGTAAAGTATGTGGTGTTGATAAAGATGACAATAGTGTGCTGTTATGTGATACTTGTGATGCTGAGTATCATACTTATTGCTTGAATCCTCCACTTGCAAGGATTCCTGAAGGAAACTGGTATTGTCCATCTTGTGTTATCAACAAACATGTGGTTCAGGAGGCACCAGGAAGTTCGCAGGTTATTGGGCCAGTCCACTGTAAAAAGTATCAAGGAGAAGTTACGCGTGTTTACTTAGAGAAACTCTCACATTTAGCTGTTGCAATGAAAGAAAAAGAGTATTGGGAGTTTAATGTTGATGAGGTTTGTGTGTGAACCTATTGCTATGTATCTTTCCTGCTTCATTATGCCTTGCTAGGTTTTGGTTCATCTCATCTTTTCTAGACATACATGCTTCAGTATTTTTTTGAACTCAAAAGCCAAAGAAATATACCATGAAGGAAGTGCACAAACTCAGAATTGTACCATCTGTCAACATTATTTTATCCGCATAGAAGATTAGTTTTTGTTATTTCTTGATTTATTGTTTTCTCCTTTTTTCATCTGCTCTTGACATTGCTCGCTCTTTGTTGGCAGAGAATCCACTTGCTAAAGTTTCTATGTGATGAGCTGCTAAACTCAGCTCTTATTCGTCAACATCTTGAGCAGTGTGCGGAAACAACAAATGAGTTGCAGCAGAAATTGCGTGCATTCTCTATGGAATGGAAAACTGTTAAATCTAAAGAAGAATTTATGGCTTCCAAAGCCGCAAATATGGATGGCAGTGCAGTTGGAGAAGTTGGTGTAAGGGAAGCCCTTGCTTCTGCAATTATAAACCAGGCCAAGCATGTGGGACAACAACCTGATTTGAGTGATGGAGCTAGCCACTGTAGCACCTTCAGTCATGATCTGTCAGCACTAGACGGTAGCCAAGATGGGACTAGGATTAATGGATTCGATAAACACAGTTCTGTGTCAGGTTCTGGGAAAAATCATAGCTGTAATAGCCAAACTGCAAATCATACATATACTAAAGAGCAAGTAAATGATCCACTTGCTGTTGTGGATGGCAGTATATTACCTTCTCAAGAAAATGAAAAATCACCAGGGCCAAATAATTTTTCTCAAATAATTAATGACATGGATGGAATTCAATTCCAGGGTAACTTGCAAGGATATGCAGGAAGAGGCACTTCTTCTCTTCTGCCATCACCAGATGCAGGATTTCGTCCCTCATTAGAAGAGAACAGTCATGTGAATTTGCATGTGCCTCCTGTTGCCATCAGAGAGTCAGAAAGCTGTCATCTTGAGTTGAGCGCCATCAAGAATGATGTTCTTCATCTGCAGAACTCAATTAGCAGCATACAATCACAACTTTTGAAACTAGCTGTACGCAGGGAGTTCTTGGGTTGTGATTCCAGAGGTCGCTTGTACTGGGCTTCAACTGGACAGGGTAGCGATCAACGAGTTATTGTTGATGGAAGTTTGACATTGCAGCAAAGGAATTCAGATCGGTTTGATTCTTGTTTAAATTTTGAAGAGCCAAAAATATGCTTTCCTTTCCATTATACATCAGATAATTTTCAGGCTATGTGCTCACCATGTATTTCTTACGAAACTGAGGAGGAAATTGAGCAACTCATTGGTTGGTTGAAGGATGATGAACAAAAGGAAAGAGAGCTGAAAGAGTCCATTTCACAGTTCCTGAAGCAAAGATTTCAAGAGACTCGACAAACTAGAGACTTGGTTCAAGAAGAGCATCAAGCAGCTCCATCACTGGTCATAAACAATGACAACACTGCATTTTCTAGTTATCTTGTCACCAAGGCTGCAACGTTTCTGGAGAAGAAGTATGGTCCCTGGGTGGAGTTACACACCAATGACAAGCTGGGAAAAAAGGCAAGAGTGACTGGTGAGGGGAAAATGTACCGTTGTGATTGCTTAGAGCCCATTATACCTTCCAGACACCACTGCCTCTCTTGCCACATAACTTTCTCTGATGATATTGAATTCAATGAACATAATGATGGTAGGTGCAATTTAGTTACACCAGCCTGTGCAAACAGTGAACATATCAGTGATTTCTTAAAAGCAAAGGGGAGTGTGAAATCCCAGACCATGCAAAAGGTGCCTATCAGTGAAATGGATGTGGTTGAAACTTCTAGAAGTGTTACCTCTGGACTTGGCTCAAGGTTGATTAAATTTCAAAATGAAGGGATATGCCCCTATGACTTCAACGAAATCAGTTCCAAGTTTGTGACAGACGATTCCAACAAGGAATTGGTGCAGAAAATTGGTCTTATTGGTTCAAATGGGATTCCTTCATTTGTCACATCTCTTTCACCTTACCTCAATCATTCCATGTCAATGCTGATTTCTCATGAGAATGATATTGGTGGTGTTGGTGATGAGTTGAGTATGGAAAGAAGGTTAGTTGTTTCAAAAGGAAACAAAAGCGAAAATGGTGCTGGCCTTGACAGTATCTGTGATAATTCTTCATGGAAATCTGCTGCAAATGATGTTAGTAAAGTTTCAAAAACTGATAAGCCACCTCTGGGATGTGTGGAACAAAGAAAAAAGAAGTCTTTTTCAAATAAACATTTTCCTGAAATGGAGGCTAGTTTCTGCTGTGTGGTTCCTCAGTCAGCCTTGAGGCCCTTAGTTGGAAAAGTTTCAGATATTTTAAGGCAACTAAAGATCAATCTGCTTGATATGGAAGCAGCACTTCCTGTAGAAGCTTTTAGACCCTCAAAAGCACATTTGGATAGAAGATTGGCTTGGCGTGTGCATGTTAAATCTGCAGGGTCAATCTACGAGGTTTGTCTCATTGTTTCGTTCTTCCTTGGGTGCTACTTTCATTATCCCAGTAGAATGCATTTTGCATGCCTATCAAACCTTTTGGTGCTGCTAAGAATGTGGTGACGTGCTTTATGATTTTTTTTTTCGGTTGCACATATTTGTAATTTTTTTGGGAGCTAGGGGGTGGAGGAGCAATTGGATTTTTTGTTCAGCGACCTTATAAATTACTATTAGGACTGCTGAAAACGGTAATAAAAACATGGGTAATATGAAAACCACATGCATCCGTGCATGCCTGTTTGTGTTGCTTACTTGTAAGCCGTTGCAGTTGGCTGGCATTTTGCATACTTTCATTATATGCTTATGGATTTAGTAAAGATCATGATTCATCTATTGAAGAATTTTATGATAATTATTTTACTTGTTTTCTTTTCTTTAGCAAGTAACAGTTTCAATGCTATTCGAAGGCCACATTATAACCACTTATATTCGTAGCACCATCAGAAGACATGAGAATAATATAGATCAAGTGTTATTATGCTAGATTGCAATTTAAGTTGGTCATTAAAAAAGAACTCTGGAAGGTTCAAAAGAAACCCATTCATGCAGAATTTCACTTGGTATTGCTTTACCTCTTAACTAATGTGTGAATGTTGTTTCTATGAGAGAACCAAATTTTGAAGAGGAAATTAGTGACAGAAACCAAAAACATTGATGCTTTTTTTAATTGTAAGGCTGTTCTCTAGAACAATTTTCCACAAGAAATAGATAATAAGACTTGGTCTCCAAATGCAATTTTTCCATCTGAAAAGTGGAAATCTTTTTCAATTTTTCGAATTTGTTCTGGATTTGGAAAACAAATTTAAGTTGTTTTCTATATTCCTCCTTCACAAGTTGTGCATTAGTTACCAAATGGAAACAACAATTTCCAAACTAAAATTAGAACAAGCAACCCTTCTCTCTCATGTAACATTTTTTATCAAACTAAAATTAAGCTTTTCTTTTCCATATTAATGTATATTTATCCTTTATATTTACTTCTATAAATCTGACAATAATCTTACTTTTTGTGTTAACAAGTATTAAAAGTTATTGAAAATTCTTTATTTAAATATAATAAAGTGATATGCAAAATGAAATTTACATGATCACAAATATGAAAATTTTAGATGATTATGATAGATTATTACAGTTCTCTCCTCACAGTATCCTTACTGTAGACATCTTTTTAATGCAATCCTTTATTTCTTTCTAACAAATGAACTTTATTTACAATTTTTTTGGAAAAAGAAATTGGAGATGGTGGTGGCCTGTTTTCTGTAACTAAACAAGCATGTGATCTTTGTTTCAAAATTTAGATATGGGAAAGATCTACTTTGTGAGACCATTTTTAACTAAACAAACCATTTTGTTGAAATAGAAGTGGGTACAATATTAATCTGGCTAAGTGGTAGCCAGATTACAAATACCTGACATGCATGAATGAATCTTGTATATCTACTCATGTGCACATATTTTGTGATAGCTGTGACATGTATTCTTATTGGTGGCACTAGGACCACATGTCCTATGTAAGCGATGCAATACTAATGCTGGTCTTTTGAAATATGTTGGTTGAATCCATGTACCTTTGTGCCTTCTGTGTCTATATTATTGGAATTGAATTGTTGACTTCACTTTGACTGGTCAGGAACATAACTAACAACTTGATCAACTCTTAATTCCTTTCTTCCTTCTAGAGCTGTATTTTTGATAAGTTAAGAGAGTGATTGTTTTTCTTAATTCTTTTAATGATTCTAGTTCGAAGTCCTTTTCAGTGGATAGATCATATAGGATCATATTTAAATGAACCTTCATTCAGTGTCATCTTCTTATCTTGTTGAATGCATCCCATCTAATCTTCTATACTACAGTAAAAATATCAGATAGAATCCAAGTATTCTTGTATTTATTCAACTCCAAATATTTTTTTCCCTTTCTAGATAAGGCAATGCGACAATAAAATTTTGTTTTTGTTTCAGATGATCCAAGCAACAATCATATTGGAGGAGATGATAAAGACAGATTATTTAAGGAATGAGTGGTGGTACTGGTCATCATTTTCTGCTGCTGCCAAGACTTCGACAGTTGCTTCTCTTGCTCTACGTATATATTCCCTTGATGGTGCGATTGTGTATGAGAAGACCGTGCCCAAGTTAGATTCAACCAACAGTTTGAAGCCCATGGGTACACTGGACAAGAAGTCGGTGCTTGGTTTGGATCCAATAGAGAAAACCAAAGCAAGCAGGAAGTCTAGCAAGAAAAGGAAGGAACCAGAAAGTTGATCAAGGCTTCCATGATTTCTAAATTTACGAGGGAATATAGCCAGTCTTGTAATTCCTATCCCAGCTTGTCTTTCCAAAGAATTCCTTGCTCATGGAGTTGGATTCCATGTTGCTTCGGATTTTAGTTGCCAGCCAAAGAGTCAGACATGAGCCCTTGTACATTGCAGTTTCGCTTCTCTAGTTAAGAGTCCTTCGCCCTTACTGTAAAGAGCCTGTTGTAGTAGCTTGTGATGTGGCTTGTAGATTTTTTTTTTTTTTTGGGGGGGTGGGCGGCGGAGGGTTGGATAAAGTGTAAAATAAAATTTATTTCCTTCGTTTTCCTTTGAAATTCAAAATACTCGAGAAAGAACTAATCCACACAATTAAGCAATGTATCATTCACGACTCGAACATACATCCAACTGATATTGGGAATAAAGAAATGAGCTCAAGATTATGATCTTTACATTTGTGATCCTTTTAATGAGTTTAATATCACGAGCTTTAATCTCATTATTAATAAGGAAAAAAAAATGAAAACATTAGATGAGCAAGGAGTTTGTCTTGCATAAATTGTTACACGAATGAAAAATAATTTATATGTTATCGGATGTTTTCTAGATAAATATTTAGAATGTTTTTTAGTAATAATGTACAAAAGTAGTGACAGTAAACTGATGATGCATGTGGTGGTCAAAATATTTGCATGATATAGTCATTGATTTTTAACTTGTTTTTCAATCTAGTATATATATATATATATATATATATATATATTGGTTTGAATGCATTTACTTTTCAAAACTATAAATTAGTAACTTCCGTTCAATTTCTATTAATTACTTAATTATTTGATTCCGACTTTCATTACATGTATGTTTCCCTAAAATTTTAAGTTATGATTGTGCCCTTTCTTTTTTTTTTTCATTATTTTTATATTTAGAAAAATAATTTGAGAAGGAAAGTTTTCTTCAAAAATAAATAAATAAAATTATTATTTTGTATTTTAGAAAATATGATATGTCATCAAATAATAGAATAATTGATAGAAGTTGGACATAAGTACTTGATTATCAATTAAAAAAAAATAGTGTACTCAAATAAAAAAATTAAATTCATGTATTTGATTGAGAAAAAGTTAAATTGGTGTAATTATAATGTAATTATTTCTATTATGAGTAGATTACTTGTTTGTAAAATAATTTTACAAAATTTAATAAGACATAATATTTTTCAATAAATGAATTAAGTTTAAAGATTGATTGTAAAATATTTTACATTGATCAGTTTTTCTATAAACTCGTTTGTGTATGTTCAATTTATCCATAAAAAATAATTTTATTATGTATATATATAGTTTTGGCTTATGTCCAACCTATACAATAAACATATTAGAATAAGGATGGGTCTTACCTAGCACAAAATTTTAGATGGCAAAAGGATGGGCATGAGTATTCCGGTTGGACTAGTGTCCATGCCTTGTCTTTTAAAATGCGTTAAAGAGATTAGTTTGATGGATCGATTAAGATCCATTAAAAAAAAAAGGCCTAATTGTTACTTCTTTTAGCTTCGGTAGCAAGTTCAAGTAGTTTAACCCAAAAGAGTCAATTTTTTTTTTCAATTTAAATCTAACCATCTAAACATAAATGACGTGATACGATCATAATAATTAAAAGTTATCCTCATTTATTTATCAATACTAACCTCATGTCATTGTTAGGGGAGAAACTTCTTAATTATTTTCCTCAAATCTCACACTTTTACACTAGATATCTCGTAAAGTTTCATTTATTTAGACTTTGACCACTCATTTTTTGACCACTCGACTTACACCTTGTTAGCGATTGCCTACTCTTCCTCTTATACATTTCAATAATTGCATCTATTCTACTTAGTTGGTTGACTTGTTTTTTCAATAAGTTATAACACTAACTCCTTACATCTTGATTGATCTATTGACTTATTGTTTGATCGGTTTTCAAAAACAACTTACACATTTTGGTGACTTTGCTAGAAAATTAGTGATTGTGAAAGAGTAATGGTCCCTTCCAAGACCACATAATAATAATACTAATAAATAAATAAATAATTCTACAACCAACTTAATCACTTGGAATAATGACGATACCTTGTATGATCCCAATAACAATGCCGAGAACACTAGTTCGCTTAATATCGAGAATTACAACAATTCTCAAAACTCCTAAGTTAGTAGTGGTAGCTTGCTAGCAATGGCAAAAGGTAGTCTATCTTGTCACACCATGACATCTCAATGATTGTAAAAATCAATATGCAAGTGTTTGAAATATGTGGAGTTGCCACCTAGTTTTCAAAAAAAAAAAAAAAACAAACAAACAAACCTAGTATTTCTTGAGAGAATTTATTCGAGCAATTCCATTATATGTTTGCTTTTCTATCTTGATTTGTAAGAAAAAGAAATCTCTCACCGATATTGTTATTGGATTGTTAGAGCCCATATACGAAGGTTAAAGTCAAGGCTTTAAGCTCATTGACAAATTAAATTACCCAATTCCCATACAAGAATATAAATATGATATAAGTCTAATTTAGGCCTCAAGTCCAAGTTCAACTGTCACACTATGCAATAAAAATTTACAAGTCCCAAAAAAAAAAAAAAAAAAAAGAATATCTCAAAATATGAATAGGGCCTTAAGTCCATATCAACCTACCATGTTAGTTTTAAAATAATAAGATTAGGTCCAATGCCCAATAAAAAATCAAAGCTAAACCTGCAAGAAGACAAAATTAGTAGCATAAAAAATAAAATAAAATAAAGTGAAAAATGGAAAAAATAATAACTATAATTAAAAATAATATACCATAAATAATAATAATAATAATATATGAAGAGACTCGTCAATGAAATAAAGTTAATTTTAGGAGCCAAACCTCTATCTTGACTAACCTCAAGTAACATCATAAAAAATAAACATGCAAATGCAAGACCTAATAAAATTAAACATGTAAAAGTCACAAATCACGTAAACACAACTCTATAAAAAATAAAATAGTCAATAAGCCTTTACAAGATCCTTAGAATGTTAATTCATATAGATATTTTTTTAAGAAAAAACTACTAGCCTATTGCTAGCTTCATCATCAACTAACGAGTTCATCATGAAATTTTTATATAAATAATAATTTTTTTTTCATTTTATAAAAAACATAAAATTTCTCAAAATTACTTTTCTAGACCTTAGGCCTTTGAGGCCCAAGAACTGGCCTAGGTAAGTTATAGCCTAGCTCGCACTTAGAGCGAGGCTTAGCCTTGCACCTAGGTATGTCCATTGACCAAAGCTCGGTATAGGCCCCGATGCACACACTAGCCAACGCCCAACATTGGCCTAACGCATACACTAGGCACAACCCTTTGGCCAATGCTAGCATTGGCTTTTTCATGCACAAGCCAATACCCAACGTTAGCTCAGTGCGCGCCTAGTGTGCCTTTGGCCCACCCCTCCGTGTTGGCCTCTTGCGCTCACACTCTTACTTGTTCCAAAAATCAGTTTTTCATCTTATGAAATATAAAAATTATAGATGTATAATTATAATTAATCATAGTTAATCTCACTTAACAACAATATAATCAAACATTCAACAAGACCTTCACTATCAATTAAAGAAAAAAATCATATGGAAGAGCGAAATAAATAATAAAATTTTTTTCCTCCATCGAAACTTCTAAGATCACTCGTTGAATCAACTAATTATATTAATAGATGTTTGGGTCATTACCCAATGAAACACAATATCATGATAGTGGATTGAACTATCCAATTGTTTAGTCTCTAGTAAAAATCCATATAACTTAGATACCAATAAAAGGAAGCATAGAAGAACAAGAGTACTAGCTTTACTTTCTTTTGCTTTGAAGATTGCGCATCGAATTCTTTCTATAAGGGAAATTGTGTAATGTTCTTCCTATAAAGGAAATTATGCACCTTTCTCTTTCTCTTTAGAGGAACTTCGACCAACTCTCAATGTGACGAGTTGTGTGGCTTGATGCATTTTTTTCTATTTATAAACGCTATATTAGGTTTAATAAACTTTTCTCTAAAGTTCTTAAAAATGCTCCTCCATTTAAAATATCCCTTATAGGCTTCCACTTAAACTCGTTAGCCCAAACAAATTTGGCCTAATGACTTAGGAATTAAATGGATCATACAAATAAACTAGGTTAGGTATTTTAGGAAGGCTCAATTTAAAAAACTATTTCTTAGATTACTCTTATCCGATTAGGAAATCCAAATTAGAAAACTATTTCCTAAATGATAGAAATTTCAATTTAGGAAACTATTTCTATAATTCTTTTAGTGCTTAAAAAATTAAAATTAATTATTTCAATTCTCATTTTCTTTCATAATTCTTCTCTTCTCTTTATCCGAGTCAATGTCAAGCTTATATTTATGACTCAATAGGCTTTTAGATATCTTGACAATGCATTGAGAAGTAAAAGATAATTATTTTATCTTTCAATACATAAATCAAGATTAGCTTCTAGTAAGGCTTCATGATTACCCAATTTTAAAAAAAGTTTACTTAATTTGCAAAAGCCTTTCACAAGTATTGTTTTTATACAATCCGGTCCTAATGTCAATTTATTACGAGTGTGATCCTAAACTTGATTTGGGGTTTGTTTGATTATGATTACACAAGTTTTCTTTGATCTTTGAATGTTTTAGCTCTCAAGTAAATCAATCTTGCTCTATTGATATACTTCCACTATAACCATATATTCTTAAGTAGATATTCATCAAAGTGCAATGTGATAACTCATTAGTATATAAGAAATAACATGTCCTATTTTAATTATCCACTAATCTCTAAAAATTCTCGATGTACCCAACGAATTGCTCACATGTAGCTTTTTACTAGGGGTGAGCATTTGGTTAAACGGTTCGGTTAAGCATAATTCGATTTAGTTTTTGGTTAACCAAAGTAGAAAAAATAAGAATTGAAACCAAACCAAAATTAATTCGATTAATTCGGTTTGTAACCAA